TTAGAATTTAGATTCTTGCTTCAATATTAATATGGCATTTTTTTAAAAATTACTTGTTATTCTTATTTATAGCATAGCATTATCACAGAATTTAATTTTTTTAAAATTTAAAAATTTTAATTTATAAATAATTATAATAAAATGTTGATTTTGTGAATTTAATATAAAATGTTTTTACTATTTAAAATATAATTGTTCAGTCTCAAGTTAGTTAGTCAACCAGTCAATCAAAATCAGTCAGAATAAGTCAGTTAATCAATTAGTCAAAAGCCTTTGATTGACTAATATTAATCATAATTATAATTAGTTATATCTGATTATGATTGTAATCATTAACATCTTTAATCCCAATTAGAATTTCTAAAGATATTTAAAAAAAATTAAATAAATATAAAAATTATTTTATTATTAATCATTATTTATCAGTATTTTAATTAAAGTAAAATTTTTTAACTAATTACTTTTTTATAAAAGTAGATTTTTTTTTTTCAAATAAAGAAAATTTTTAGTAATAGAATTTTATTAATTTTTATTTATATTTAATAAAATTAAAAAAATTAAACATGTAAAAATTAGCTTAAAATCAGTTAAAATTAACAAATTATCAGAAATCAGCCTAGTTAATTAGCATACATCAAAAATCAGCCAATATTTAACTTATTTTATTTATAACTAATTAACATCTAATTTACATTTGATTGACATACATTAAAATCAGTTAAAATATATCAAAATAAAATAAAATTCAGAAAAAAATATATCAGTTATTGATATTAATAGCCAAATTTATTTTCTAAAAGATTTAGTTCTGTATATTATTTTAATTGAATAAAAACTAAAAGATTATTAATTGAAATAATTGTATCATTTCAACCAAATAAAAATTAAAAATCATTTGATTAGAATGATTATATCATTTTAATAAAATAATAACCAAAAAATTTGTTCAATTAGAATAATTATACCAATCCAATTGAATGATATCTAAAAAATCATTTGATTGAAATAATGTATTATTTTAATCAAATGATAATACAAAAATTATTTAATTGGAATAATATAATTATTTCAATCAAATAAAAATTAAAGAATCATTTTAATTGAATAATAATATAAAAATCTTTTAATTGGTACATTTGTATCATTTCAATAATACAAAAATCATTTAATTAAAATAATTGTATTATTCCAATTAAACAATAACCTAAAAATCATTTGATTGAAATAATACAATTATCTCAATTAAACAAAAATTAAAGAATTAATTAATTGAAATAATTATATCATTCTAATTGAATGATAATATAAAATCATTTAATTGGGATATTTGTATTATTTCAATTAAATGATAATACAAAAATTATTTGATTGAGATATTTGTATTATTCTAATCAAACAATAATACAAAAATCATTCTATTGAAATGATTATATTATTTTAATCATTTGATTAGAATGATTATATATTCAAATTAAATAAAAATTAAAGAAGAATTATTTCTTAAAAATAATGTTTATTAAAAAATATTCTTTTATCATTTCTTTGAAATAATTATTGTATTATCATTTTTAAGGAATAATTTTTTTATTATCATTCTTAAAGAATAATTATTTTTATCATTTTAAAGGAATGATTATCATATTATTATTTTAACAAAATGATTATATTTATTATTTTAAAAGAATAATTATTGTATTATTATATCTAAGAATAATTTGTATTATTATTCTAAAAAAATGATTTATTTAATTATTTTTAAGGAACAAATATTATTATCATTTTTTAAGTACAATAATTTTATTATTTCTTGAAGATATTAGTTTATCATTCTTTAGATACAATAGTTTTATCATTCCTTAGGTATGATTTTTTTTATCATTTTAAAGAAATGATAGTTTTATTATTTTTTAAATATAATTTTTTTATTATTTTAAAGGAATGTTAGTTTTATCATTTCTTAGATACAATAGTTTTATTATTTCTAAAAAAGATGCATTTATCATTCTTTAGATATAATAGTTTTATGATTAAATCAGTTTGCAAAAATAATAACAAATATTTAGAGAACAAAAAACAATTTTATTGATATTAATTTAATATATTATTTAAGTTTATTTCTAGAATATTTATATAAATAAGCTTAATTTTTTCACTTTTTAAAAATAATTTCAACTTAAACTTTAACTTTTTACAATCATTTTCAAATTTCTTTTTTATATATATTACCAAATGCTGAAAAAAAATCATTCTAAAAACAAAAAGAACTTAAATTAGATTTTATTAATCAACCAGTCAACTTTTTAAATAATAAACTGATTTTTTTACATTTATGATAGAAAAGATAATTTCAAGTATTTAATGAAAAAAAATAAATTTTTTATTTATTATTATTTTATTTATTATTTTTTACATTTTTAAACGATTTTAAAGGATTTTTAAAAGGAAAATAAATCATATTTTTATTATTTTTTTTTTTTCCAAAATTAGGTTTTTATTATTAATAAAATTTAATATTTAATAAATTTAATAATAAAATATATTCAATTTTATATGTTTATTTGAACAAATTGATATCAAATTGAGGCTAATTTTAGGCCAATTTATGGTTATATAAGTTCTTAAATGATGTTGAATTAGTGTTAATTTTAGGCTGATTTATTATTGAATTTAAGTTTTAAATTAATGCTAAATAACTATATTTAATTAGAATTGATCGATATTAATTAGTGTATATTTGTACTAATTAAAATATATGGAAATCAGCCATAAATAGTATCAAAATCAGCCTAAAATCAGCTATCCATTTCTAGTTAATTTGGATTATTTCAACTAGTGTCAAAATGTGAACTTTTTATCTATATATAATTTTAAGATTTTTTAAATATTTTCTAATATTTGAATAAAAATTAATTATTGTGTTTATTTTTAATTAAATATATTAAATACTATTAAATATACTTACTAAATTTATATATAAATTTGATTTTTAATATATTAAATTAAGTATAATAATATTATATTTAAAAGAATATAGGATGTAAACTATTAAAATCATATTACAGATCATATAATTTACTATGTTCGTAACTCAATTTTAATAGCAAACCTCTCATATCTATTTTATTGTACTTTATAAAATAAGTATTTTTATATAGTGTTGTCATCACTGGACAATGGAAAATGGATAACACTGGACAAAAAATGCTTTCCATTGTCTATTAACCAAACAATGGATATATGATAAAGTGTCCATTGTTGTCCATTGAATTTACTTATATTTATTAATATACAATTAATAAAAAAAATTAAACATATTTAAAATTTACTATTATTTTATTTATTTCAATTTTTATTAAAAAAAAAATTATATATCATATTATTTTTTAAAATTAAATATCTAAATTAGAAACAAACAAATCTTCCGTGATACAGATTTTTTATTTAGAATTTTGGGATCATCAAAAGTATACCTTCGCCAACAAATAAATTTAATATTAATTAAATTACCAATAAATTGTCATTTCGTAGTTGTTGTAGTAATATGAAATTTTGATAATGTTAAAATTTTATTAACTTTGTTAAGTTCATGTTCAGTCAATAAATTTTGACAAGTTTGAAGATATTTATAACAATAATGTTGAGTATTTGTAAATTTATTATTTTTATCTTTTAATAAGGAATCTTATACTATACAGGGGGTGACAAAAGTATTGCACGGTCAAGAATTAGACAATTTTGTAAATTTTAATAAGTAACTGAGCTATATTTTTTAATAAAATATCAGCTAACTATTACCTAATGAAACATTTTGTTCATTGTTTGGTTTAGAGTGAAGCATAGTGTAAAATCTAATTTTGAAAAAATCTCTACTTTTCAATACTTCGCATTTTATATGTTCTCGCTAAAGGATCAGTTTTTAGCTTTTTTTATGTTTTTACTAATTAATAAGCAGCAAGTATCCACATAAGGTCAGTCAATGACATCTAATAAAATTTATGATTTCCGAGTTGCTGGACCCAATTTTTTTTGCTTTAATAATAGCATTTTAACCTTTTAACGAAAATATAATGCGAAATGTTAAAAAATAGAAATTTTTTAAATTCGATTTTAAGAATTGCAACATATTAAATTAAACAATTCATAAAAATATTTCATTAATGCAATAGATGTCCAAAATGATTCTAATAAAATATGGCTCAGTTATTAATGAAAAATTTTCTCAATATCTCATTTTCGATCGTGCAATATTTTTGTCACCCCCCGGTATATCTAATATAAGATAAAAAAGAGCCTTCTTATTATTTTTATTTGATTTTTCGTTGTGAAGTACTTCAAAACATGAAGTTAATGGATGTGGCGCTTTTCCTCTGGATTTGTCATTATATTCAGAAAGAGTTTTTATAAAAAATCATGCTATTTGGATCCCTTTTATATTCTAACTTTATCCATTTAAGTTTATTCGTGATTTTTATTACATCATCAAAATGGACACAATGGACAACGCAATGGACACAATGGAAAAGTGTCCATTGTTATACCAATGGATATGTCCAGAGCCAACACTGTTTTTATAAAAAAAATAAAAAAATTTTTATTAATAAAAATTGTTTTAAACTATAAAATGTAAATTATCAATAGCAATTATATTAATATATTATTATTTTATTATTAGAAATTTAGTATTAATTTCTTTTCTGACAATTTTCTCCTTTTTATTACAAAGATTCTATATCATTTATAAATAATTAAATACTATTTATAGATTATTTATAAATTTTTAATTTCTGATTAATTTATTTTATATTTAATTATTTGTTAAATAATCAGTTTTTTGTTTTATGAACATTTTTTATTTCTATTTTTTATTTAAAATTTAAAATTTAAAAAAAAATATACTTAAAACGTATCCTCTTTAAATTAAGTGTACGCCAATTTTTTAAGTAAAATGCCAAAAATTTATGAACGTTCAGATTTTGAACGTGGAGATTATTGGTCTTCTTATGGCCGGACATGGTGTAAAGAAGATTGCAAAAATACTTGGACAACCAAGAATCATTGTTCAAGATGTAATTACAAAATACAAAGAAGAGAATCGTACAGACTCTGCTCCCCAACCTGGGCCAAGAAAGAATAATATGTCAGAATAGTAAACAATCTTTTGAAGAATTACAATCAATTTTTACCAATTCTTGGTAAGTAAAAGAAATTTTAATTGAATCTTGCATTGGGAAATTGTGGGAGAAAATCCTTAGATTCTGAAGCAAATTATTAAATGTTTCGGGGTCATTTTTCACTTTCAACATACCAAACCAACATTTATAAAAATTCATATTAACAGGCTTCAAATCATGAGGATCATTCAGCTTACGTTAAACACAGTCAATTTAACATTTTACTATATCAAAAATTAAAATTTAAAATTTTCAAAGTTGATTATGAAATGTATAAAAAAATTGTCAATTCAGTTCAATTATATACTATAGATTATATTTCATATAAAGATCGATATTATCATATTAACATATTTCGACTCTTTACCCGGCTTGATTATATGAATCTTCAGAATTTTTTTATTTTTTTGCTATTAATTTAAGCAATTTCTTCTACACTCTTAAATAAAATTTAACAAGATTAGACTTAACGATTTATGTAATATCTAATCAAAAACATATCTATTAATATAAGACTTACAATAATTTCATTCACATTTAATTAATATATGTATTATCTAAAGCTATTAAATTAAATTTGATAAAAATTATTCCCATTACACGGGACTAAAACGTGCGGAAATTTGCACAACCGCGTCTTTCGAACTGTTGGCCCTCAGGTAAATTGTTCAAATCATCTCGACAGTAATATTGTAATTCGCAATTTGCAGTTCGATTTACTAAAGTGTATTTAACAAACTTATATATATTAAACATCAACAATGATCTCAATATTATTCACCAATGGAAACATTGTTATTATCCGTGTTCCAACCGGATTTGCCTTACAAGATCTTTTTATATCATATAGTTCGGCAGTGTGACTCTATTTTATACATTTGAAATCTTCGCTTTGAAGAATTAAAAACAACAAGCCATGATGGGAAGAATAGTCGAACTCAATTATCAAGAAATCAACTTAATATCATTTTAAATTCGAAATTGCCTTCATGTATTTTGTTTTATTAAAAAATATTGATTAAACGTGATTTCGGAATATGTATACATATAATAAATTTTTTACTTTTAGCAAGAGTTTGATAAATTAAAATATGTAAAAATGAAAGCATTACTGAACAATTTATTTTATGATTTTTAGGCATTATAACTCAGAAGAATCGTTTATTGAAAGCCAAAAAGCCTCTGATATGGAACTAAACCTATACTTCCCGTATTGTAGACATTTTGTTTTTATGAAACTTATCAGACAAACACAAACTTGGACACCTGACTGATCATTGTTAATTAAAGAAGTTGAAACTTCTGCTTTTGTTCACCAGCGATAATTAAATACAGTACTTGTTTTATTGGTTCATCTTGATCAACAGGCACGTATTTTAAATTCGATAATGGCATAGGTTGTATAAATTCCTATATCTTGATGTGTGAATTAAGCGCAAACGATTCAAAACAACTCATTTCAAGAAATTATGCAAATCTCAAAGTACAAAATATTTTAATTGACGTGTCTCGAACAAGACTTATATATTATCATTAATATTATAAGTTATAAGACTTCATGTTGAAATTATATTGTGATAATTTGTAAAGAAACGTTTAAATAATAGAATACTTAACAAATATATAAATAATTTAAAACGAACAAAAATCTAATTGAAATAAAGAAATATCTTATAAATGTCTCTCAATTCTAAATTTAGGGCTAACCCAAACTTCATAATCTTTCTCGTTGTTAATATCACCAAACATTTTCAATGCTCTAACCCTAATAAAATATTTTCCGTTGGAAACGGGTTCGGAATGAATAAGTCCATCCCATGAAATTATTCTTGGTTCTCCTAATTTGTATTTTTGAAAAAGGAAAATATTTTTTACCATTTCCCATTGATCCTAAAGATGATGATTACCATCAAGTATCTCAGTAAAATTCGCTTGTGTTGGAATTGCAAAATAAATGGATAATCACGTAATCCACTTGTAATGTTAAGGAGTTTAAGGTAAATGTTTTAATTGGATCCTTCTTTTGTATATATTTCTTCGAATCGTAAAGTGCAGGAAATTTAGATGTCTGAAATAATGGAAGCGATCTTGCATCATCGGCTAACCCAGCTATATAAATAAAAAGTTGTAAGGAATTATTAATGGAGAATAAAATATTAAGTAATTACAAAATGGTGATTATCATGTAAAGAAATTTATTTACCATAGGGAACGGTTAATTTAGGCTTGTTCTCATCTAAAAGAATTATCTCTAACCAACCACTATAAAAATAATGGTTATCCTTTTTGGCAACGTAAAAAAGTCAACACTTGAACCAGGTGGTACAGTAATCTGATCATTATCAAATTCAACACTAGCATACTGTCGTGTATAACACTCAAACTGATAATAATTTCTTTTGAAGGTTTTATTATATCCATTGACACTCGGAGCTGTTAAATGTGATAATTTATATTTCATCTCTTTTCTGTCAACATTATAAATAGTTAATTTGCGATTTCCATAAAAATGAACCGTGTCATTCAAATTAATTTTTGACGGATGGGCAAAACTGGTTGCTGTCAATATATTATAAGCATCGACGAGACCTGCACCTTGAAGAAGTACCGAAGCCAATAATTTATTACGTTCCTCACGAGGAATAGCATAATTCATTAATGCAGTTTTTAGTTGTTCGGAAAACTGTTGTTGATTTTGCTTTCTAAATTCTCCAAATACTTCAGTATACAATGCCGCTACGCCTGCTATATATGGCGAAGACATACTTGTTCCAGACAGTATTCTATAAGTCGAATTATTAACCGGAAAAGCCGAAAATATTAAACCTCCAGGTCCAAAAATTTCAGGCTATTGAAGAATTTTTTAAAATTAAAGTTTACGCATGTTAAAGGATATTTCTTATTTTTTACTTTAGTCGATAAATTACTTACCTTGATATCTAACTCCTCAGTTAAATCCCAACCCGAAATTAAAGAAGGAGTTTCAGCAAATGGAAGAGGTTTCATATATCCATGCTTATCGGAAAAATCTAATTCCAAATTAGGATTTTTTTCGAGATATTTAATCAACATATCGGCTTCTTTTGTATTAATTACCGCCTTGGGTGGCGCTGGCATAATTCTTCATTAAATTTATTACTGATTGAAATTACCCCAAGAAGCTTCGTCTATAATTAAATTATTTAAATTTATCTTCGAATGAAATATTAAAAAAAAAAAAATTAAATAAAGTATTTTAAATGAATTAACTTACAGCATCAATATCTTGTGAACAATTGTTTTCAACTCTGTTATCTTGGATTATTATTGTATTTATAAAATCTTTGTAATCATGTATGCATTTTTTGGAAGCAATTTAATCTTAGCTTTTTGAAAAGGAAATGCCGATACATCTTGTGTCATGTAATCTTTGTAAATATATATAAAAAATTTGGTTCAATATTTTATTTGTTTATATATGGAATTTGCAAATTTAGATAAATTTATATATATTTACTAATAACAAACTTTGGATTCTTCGGATCAAAGGCTTTATAATTTATAACTTCATTTGTTTCAAATGAACAAACTCAAATAACTTGTTGAGCATTAGCTGGCATTCCAATATTAATAAGCCGTTTATATCACCTACATTGCCTATTGCTGCTACGAATATTGTTCCTTTATATTTGACCAAATCATTGATCAACGTTACCATAAAGATTTCTTGTTTTCAAACCATCCCTGTAAAATTTGAAGTCAATGCAATGTTTTATTTTAAATAAATAAATAAATAAATTCATTTACTTACGAGTGACATATTTATGACGTCCATTCCATCATCAACAGTCTTCAGAATAGCTTTCATTACCGTAATACCGACAGGTTCATCTTTCATATCTTTACAAGGAAATACTTTATATGCTCCAAAAATAACATCAGGTGCTACTCCCACAAATCCAGGACCGTTACCTCTTAGATCACCTCCAACAATTGCTGCTACATGAGTTCCATGTCCAACACAATCATATGGATCATCATTATCATCAATAAAATTATACCCAAATGCTACTCTACATCCTGGTCCATAACACCCTTCAAGTGCGGGATGTGTATAGTCAATACCTAATAAAAAGAGGATATGAAATGACAAAGAACCAAAGTTTCGTGATTTGTTAAAAATAAAACAACTTAAATACCTGTATCAATGATTCCGACTTTAACGCCTTTTCAATTCTTCGTGAACTCTTTTAACGCCAGTCATTTCATGAACAGAATTGACGTTATCAGGCAAGTTCGTATAATCGTTGGCACGTTGATTCAATTTTTTTTCATTTAAATTTATAAATGAATATCAGTATACTGCGCCAATTGGGAATCTCCCGCCACGAATTTCTTACCACATCAACACTTTCTACGTGCTCAATTTCAGCAATTCATTTTACATGACGTTCATCGGTCTCGATGCTAAATCCGTTAGCATATCGTTTGAATACATCTTTAATTTTAATATTGATCCCAAGATTATTTAGCTCTATGTGAAAATTGGCATGCTGGGCATCAATATGCAACAGATGAATCAAACGGCGAAGAGGTGAATTTAACATAATAATGATTTGCGCGAGTTTCATGCAAGAAAACCCTAGCAAAAGTCCAATTGAAAAGAAGTCGAAGAATAGTTAAACAGACATAGGAAATTTTTGTATGTTGTTTCTCATCGTAATAGGACTTTGTTCTAAACGACCCGTATCTTATATATTATTTTTTTTTTACGTGTAACTATCCATGAGGACATAAAAAAGCAGTGGCAATGGCATTAGCGATTACCCTTTAAATATGATAATTTCATTTTATAGATACAAAAAATTTATTTTTATGAAATTTCTTAATTAGAACTTACACAGGGAAGTTGACAATGTTCTATTCGGCTTTCAAATTTTAAAATAATCATTTCCTATTTTTAGCATAACTATTAATAAGTTTTATTTTTACATAAGTTGCTGTAGCTTTTTACTTTATAACATGAGATTTATTGTTGATCTTTAAAATTAGTATGTTGTTTTGTTTGTTCTGGTTAATCTATAATAAAAAACCGATTTTATTTTATTATAATCGCGATAAGTCAATATGCGCGTTTATGTTGAACTTCACAAAAGAAAAAAACTGATGGACATATTAAATAAATTATGCATAAGAATATGACAATGGTTTCGTTCACAGAAAAAATATAGAAATTTGAGATTTATAAATCACGTGATAATAAAAATGATTTTTTTTAAAGTTCGCCTTATATTTTATATTATTACGCGAATTAAAAGAATAATAGATAACCGGATCAGCAACACCGCTTATCTTGATTCTCTCTGTCTCTGACTGTTATCTTAATTTACGCTGCTTTTTGTTGAATTGCTTCATCTTGCGAACGCATTACCTTTTTAGGATACTTTATATTTCCGCTTTTAGGTATGTCTATTATTAGTTCAACGTACATCTTTATTATTTGGTTGTCCCTATAACAAATAGTCTTAAGGAAATTTATTTGTGGCGCATTTAGTAATTACTAATTTCGAAACAAACAACCTTCGATGATTGTAAAGTCAATATTAAATAAAAATATTTTAAACTCCCCTCATACACGTACTTTTATATGCTAAATGTGACATCATAGTTTTTAACTAACGCCTAACGCCACAGCAGATTATTTATATAAACTTACAAAAGAAATTTTTATTTTCTATACGCGTTGTTTTTTTATTACGATTCTTGCTAAAAATCTAAAAATCCCCACCATTACCTCCTGAAGTAAGCAAGTTTCACATCCAAATTTGGAAAAATTAAAAGAATATCATTTGCTTCAATAAAGAAGGGTGAATGAACTACAAACGCGGACTAGGCTTTTACCGACCGGTTTACTGACCGACCGTTATTATCCGATCGAAGTAAATTTCGCCTAAAGACCTACAAATTATGAAAACTTGCGAACAAAAATCAAAGCTGTAACAGCTCTTAAATCTACTAACGTAGCCATCAATTTCTGGTATATCTATTTTACCAATACCGATTATAATGAAATTGCGTCCAAAGAACTTGGTTTGATGGTAATCTTTCACTTTAATTTTAACAATTCCCAATAAATCTTGATTTATTTCTTAAAAAAACCGATGATATCGCGGGTTTTGATATATGTTTCTTTACTTTTAGATGAATGAATCGACCTTAACAGATACTGAGTTTTCAATTTCTTAAGGAAACGAAAAACTTAATATTTTGCATCACTAAAAGAAAAGATCCAGGTTTTTTTTTTATTTTGCGAGGGTAGATTTAGGAGAATTACTGGATTTTGACAAAAGTACTCACAGGTGTTCTTAATAGATTGTTATTTCACCGACTTGAAAGAAATCATGTTATGGTATTGATTTCGGACATATTGTTCATGGTAGGGTCACCATAAACACTTCATGAGCAGTCCAAATAACCTTATCATTTAAGGACCGCTTGGATTGTCCGCGGTCTAATAATTTTAAACATTTAGCAAAATAGCTTAAAATTATCATCCCTTCACTATAGGAAAGGGGTTAAATGACGTCATTATGCATTAATAAATATTGCATTAATTTTTTATTGCAAAGAATCAAGTAAGTTCTTTGGTGGTTGGCGAGATATTCAAATGCGATTCAGCGCCCTAACATTATTGTTAATAAGGATCTGCTGATACAAACGAACTCTTGAAACAAAAAAGATTTCGAAATACTTGCTGGTCACATCTATGTTAATGTCATCATAAGTTGCCACGTAAGATTTAGTACGGTATGTAAATTTTCGCTACCCTCGTATTATTTACTCAACACGTCAGTTCTAAGTCTGGAAGAATCGTTATCGTGTATTCCACGTCACCCATCACATATTCTCCGGAGAGTAATAAATCGAAGATTACTAAAAGGGTCATTGGTAGCCCGCCGACAAGAGTGTGCTTCTTTGGGAAGACTTTTCGAGAAAGTAAATCGTTTCTCGCTTCGACCAACTAGGGATTGGAACCTAAATAGATTTAATTTAAATAAAATAAATTAAAAAAAAAAAATAGTGGATATATATGCAAATTAAAAAAAATAAATCGCGGTTATTCGCAATTTTTTTGTTAGATAGAATTAAAAAAAGAATACGTCGGAAAAAAAATTTAAATCAATTAAAATAATCAAATTTTAAAAATTAAATTAATAAAATAAAAGAATTCAATAAAATATCAGAAAATAAAAAAAAAAAAATTAATAAAAAATAAACATAATTAAAAAACATTAAATTAAAATCGTGGTATAAAATATTTATATATTTAAAAATTAAAAAAAAATAATAAAAAAAAAAAAAATTTAAAAAAAAAATTAAATTTATCAATTAAATAATAATATAATACTATACAATTTATACAATTTTATGGTTTAATATTGATAATCTGTTTATTTAAATTTTGGACATGAATATTTGTCAAAAAATTTTGCATTCTTTAATATATTTTATAACTAAACATCTAATTCAATTTCCACTCCATATAGTAAGAACAATTTTTAATAATTGTGATGCGCCATATGCTGTGCATTATATGTTATTTTAAGTCCAAAAATCGATTTCGATTAATTCGATTTTATTAGAATCGATTCCAATCCTTACGACCAACAACCGGGATTCGAAAGACCATTAAATTTAAGATATTAGAAAATTGTGTTACTTTTCTTTTTTCAAAATATAGTTATGTAAATAATGAGATCATGTCGTCAAGGTGTTGGGTGTTGGTCAAATGAACCAATCCCTATTATTTTAATAATATTACTAAGGCATTCGTTTTGTAATTATTGAAATTACATTTATTTTGCCAAATTATTGGAACCCGTTGATATCAAGTTCGATATGTCATAATTTAATTACAGATGAAACGAATTTTGCACTATCAAGAAAAGTTAACATGATAGATTTGATGATTGTAAAACAATTAATTTTCAATAAAATTTAATATTTTCAAAATATATATATGTCGAAAATATTGACCATCAATTAAAAAAACGACACTTCAAACTCAGAAATGTTTCGAACGGGTGACAATAGAATATTAAGAATAGAAATTTCATCGAACACGTTACTAATGCATT